TCTCAGATGCTCCACCCGTAAAAAGAACATCCTTCACTATACATTTTGATCAGTGTAGATTGACCCTGAAGTGGATTGCCGCCATGGCTCAGCTTATGTTGGTCTCTGTCTGGTTATCCCGTAAAACTTCAAAAAATATCCACTGGACTTGGTTTCCAAGATTTGAAGACGTTTCGCCACCTCTTCAGGAAGCTTTCTCAATTCAAATGTCTGGATCCGCAGTGAGTTTGAGTCTTATATAGACAACGCCTTGTATCTCTGTCTGGTTTTTAAAGATGCACCTCTGCCAAAAGTGCAGCTTTGTTGGAACAGCAGGGCTCCTTTTCAGAAAGAATGGCCTCCCCGACCCAAAGGTTCTGCCACTTTCTTACATATTGAGAGTTTTTGGTTTCACAACAGGTGAGATCAGTTGGCTCACTGATATAACATCTAATTAACTCTGAGGCTGACTCTCCAAATACCTCAAATTAAAGCTCCTACCTCCTGTCCGGTAAGAACACTATCCAAGGTAGGAAAAGGGCTTCAGTAGTGCTGAATGAAAATAGCCTTCAGTCGTCATTATTATACGAAGGACACAGAAGAATTATGCTGGTCAAACTGGAAATACAAGAAATCTCTCCTTTATTTTTGTTTTTTTTACCATCCTCTCTATATATCTGGATGCAATATTTATACTTCAAGCACCTTTCCTCTTTTGTGCACCTTCTGTTGTTTACGAGAGTCGATGTCACAAATGAATTTCTCCATTGTGAGATCAATAAAGTTCTATTTCATCTAATCAGTAGAATGATTTTAAAAAAAGCAGTTTCCCAAACATGAAGCTGAAGCTCTACATTTTAAAATCCCAAACATGTAAAAGTTTGACGTTATTTTTTAAACTCCAGGTGGTGGCCTGTACCTGCAATCATATCTAATTCATGGAAATACTCCACATGAATCATATTTGGCTCTGAAATCATTAAAATCTGATGTCTTTCAATTAATTTCAATTCAGTTTATTTCTATGGCGCCAATTCACAACACGTCGTCTCAAGGCACTTTATAGTTCACCAGATCATACAGTCAATTTGATTAAAAGTTTTCTATCTAAGAAAAAACATCTGATTGCATTGACTCAAATGCTTTGCTAGGCATGCTTGTAGCGACAGTTGAGAGGAAAAACTCCCTTTTAACAGGAAGAAACCTCCACCAGAGCCAGGCTCAGTGTGAGCGGCCATCTGCCGAGGCTGACTGGGGTTCAAGGAGACAGAAGCAGAGATACAGAAATAAGCCGTAACTGTAAAAGGCGGCCCCCGTCTAAGAAACACACAACCAGGCAGACGAGCTCCGAGCCAGCTCCCATGTCAGAGGACGAAGAGAGCACATCCAGTTAGTTACAGTCAGAGAAACAGGACTACACTGAAAAACAGGCTGATGTCCAACATCT